GTCGGCCTGTTCCGACGAGGCGCGAGGCCGTGGCCGTCGCCGCGTCGCGGTCGTTCTATGACCTCATGTTGAGTCCAAATAAGGCGCGCCCAGCCGCAGGTTCACTCGCACACCTTGTGAGGTGTGGCCTATCGTTTCTTCGTTAGCTGGAAGGAGAACGCTCGTAAGCGGCGGGTGTCAGCGGGATCTTGAACGTCGGACATAGCCACTGCGACGAGCGTTTATACGCTCATGTTGAGGTTTCTCGTTGCAGCTCTCTTACGAGGGTAGAACTGATTCATGGTGGTAGAAAGCAAGTTGTGGCCCGCTGCTCATCCGAGCGTGCGAGCGCGCGTCACTGACCCGTTCGCGGCTAATCCGCGCTCGTCTCCATCTCCTCGTTCAGGTCCGCCATGACCACACAGTTCAAGGACCGCAACCTGCTTGCGGTGATTGGAGATGAGGTGCGCGGATCTGGTATAGCCACACCATACACACACGGTCCTGATCAGGGCTCCAGGATACAGTGACTGGGATGCTCCTCGCCGGTATCGGCCAAGTGGGCGAGCACCAGAAGAAGAACTTCTTCATCGTTGACTCTAGTACGCCTCGTGTATCAGTTCTTGGGTATAGTTACTGATGTCATGTCTCAGAGACGCAAGTGCCCACGATTGAAGCTGTCTTCGAGGAGTACACCGAGCGCAAGGACATCGCGATCGTACTCATCAACCAACACGTTCGTACTACCTCCTTCCCCACAGATATACAGAACTGAACGCTTATGTCCAGGTTGCGGAGAAGATTCGTCCAACAGTCGACAAATATCAGCAAGCTTTCCCAGCACTGCTCGAGATCCCGTCCAAAGATCACCCATATGGTACACTACCTCGCTCATGCCTCAGGCCCGCACATACACTGATGCTCTGCCCGTTCAGACCCGAACAAGGACTCTGTATTGAAGAGGGTACAGAAGTTGTTCGGCGAATAGACGTACATAGCACAATCGCGTACTCCAGGATTCTGAGAACCCTTCACTGTATCATAGCCACGAATGCACACATACCCTCCCCCCAATTTGCGCGCTTTGCCCTCCGGCGTCCAGAGCTCCCATGTCAGGCATACGCTATCGCCGAGATGATGCAGCTACGTAGTGTGCGAACGCATCAACCCCGCACTTGGAACTTTGAGTTGACAGAACGCGTCTCTGCTCTCGCCACTGCCATGCCTCTACCGCGTTTACGACTTCCACTCTCTCTAAACGCAAATTTTCTGCGTAGCAAACCTCCACATTCTCGCAGAATAGTTTCCCGTGCTTCCGCTCGCGCTTCAACATCATCGTGCTCGCCCTCATGGTCACGGCGCACCTCCGCGACAGCGAGCTCGCGCCCCGGTGTCAAACACGCGACGGCCGCATCACTTTTGACTGAGACGCTCGACCGGCGAACTAGTGGGCAGGGACGCGGTGGGCCTGAGGCTGTTGGACCGTTTCAGCTTGGACTTGGCCAGCAGAACTTTGGTGGGCAGGAGCAGAAGAAATGGAGTGAGCTTAGTACGGGTGGAAAGGGTGCGCATTGTATCTCGTATACATTTGGGAAATGAATACTGACACTATATTCGCATTCATCTTCAGCTGTACGCGCCACTGCGAGGACGAGCAATATGGTTGTGATCATGTTCGGCGCAGGCTTGACGGCGCTGCTCGGCTACGCGCTCACGTCTGAGCTCTTCAGCTCAAATTCTCCGACGGTGCTCTACAATGAGGCTTGCGAACGCATCAAGTCCAATCCGCGTGTGCGCTCGCCCATAGCCCGTACCATCAACTCGTACTAACCTATCACAGGTATCCAAATACTTCCCCGGCACACTCGTCTTCCACAACAATCCGCCGTCCGCCATCCGACCCCGACACCGCAACCGCGGCGTAGCATCCCAACTCGTCCGCGACTCCTCGGGACGCGAACACCTACTCCTAAACTTCTACATCCAGGCTCTCCCACCCTCCGCATCCGCCACATCATACGCAGACTCCGCCCTCGCATGGGTCGAGTCGCTACCCAGCACAACATCAGACGATATCCGGGCGTGGGGACGCGGCGTTGTGGACTCTACGAAGGACTTGTTCCGGTATTTGACGGGCGATCCTGCTGCGCCTTCGACACGGCCGGGTGGTTGGTTCGAGGATGGGACGGCGAGGAAAGAGGACAGGGTCGAGAGGGCTGAGTCGAAAGGCCTATGGGGAAGCATTACGGGCGTCTTTGGATCTTTGCGGGGAGCCAGTCGGGCGAGCAATGAGGAACGGCAAGCGGAGGCGGCGGGGAAGTACCAGGAGGGCGAGGTACACGTCGACTTGATCAAGAATGAGAACGGCAACTTTGTCTTCCGGTATATCCTGATCGACATTCCTAGTAAGCATGTCTTGCAATCCGCTTGAACACCATGACTGACTGTGAGCTACAGACTCCCATTCACGCAAGCCCGTCCGCGTATTCGTCGAGCGTGCGGCAGGCGTAAGCGAGAGCGTCTCTGTCATGCGCTGGGACTCTGCCTAACGCCATCCAACCCCACCCCCCTCACCGGTCGTCGTCATTTGCTCACCATCCTTGCTATGATCTGCCACGCACTCTTCGTACCATATGCACCTATATTCGCCTCACCACTCCAGCTTGTCCCGCCCCTACTCACGCGCACCCCTTACCCCTACTCCCCAGCATTCCGAGTTCGAGTTCGGTTTCACAAGTTGTACATTATAGGTCAAACTACATAAATAAGATCACAAGATATACATTCGGGATTGTGCTCGATGGTATCGAGGTATACATGATAAGATTAAGCAGAGCAAAGCAATGTTCGGCGCCGTGCGCGTGATATGGGTATGATCTTGGGTATGATCTACTCGAGGTCGTTGGCGCCGACTGGAAGCGAGTCAGATCGAATGCATCAGTATGAAGAAGGTGAGTGCGTACTGTAGTCGTAGACGAGCTTCTTCTGGAGATGCTGGCCCTTGGGACCGATGAAGTCGAGGTGGCGAACATAGCGCCTGACGCCATCAATCTCCTCGAAACCCCAAGTCTAAAATCCACATTCAGCATCTTCGCCAACGCGCTCAACAGACAAGATAGCGCACCTGGTTAGCGGTCCAGCTCGTCCCGCTCTTCTCCGTGTCACTCGAAGCATAGGCCTCAATAGTCTCAACGACCTCCGGCAACCACCCCTCCTTCAAGAACGGGATCTCGACCTCTTCGAGCTTGACCCTGCGCGACTTGCCCTTGAGCGGGCCGAACAAGTCGTCATCGTGCGGGCGGAGCGTCCAGTCGAGCGTGCGGTCCTCGGTCGTACCGTTGAACCCGCCCGGGGAGACAGTCTGTTTGATATCGACGTGCTCGACGCCGTCGTCGGCGTGGTAGTGCTTGACGTGCAGCGTGACCGTCGCGTTGGCGATCACTTTGCGCTTGAGCCAGCCGACGCCTTGAAGCGTGAGGACATCGTCGGTGCTGTCGCTCAAAACCTTGTTCTATACGTGCGAAAGAAGTAGAGATGTCTCAGATCTTTGTAGACAGCGCCATTGGAAGTTGAATGCGTACCATGACCCACTTGCCAGTGAGATCCTTGAGCGTCTTCTCAGCGGGAGCGGCCATTGCGACTAGAGATGAGTGATTGAGAGTAGGTTGGATCTGGAGTGATGAAAGAAGTGTTGTGGGAGGACAATTGGGATGCTCCCAGCGTTATATACGCGCTGCTTAGGGTTGGTTTCGGATGCGATGTTGTTATCACATGCGCCGCCCCTGTATTGCACGATTTCCTGTGCGGCTACCCGAATCACCTCCTGTAAGCGCGTACGACCTCTGATGGAAATAGAGCTATGAACCTGGAGAATGGCATCGCCATGGAACTGGCGCTGCCCGCGGGACGCCGGATGGTGTTGGGTGGTAAGGCAGATGACGCATGCGAGACAAAGACGAACGCCCCTATCTCGCGTCGCGTCGGGCCCGACGACGCGCGCCTGCGCTCAACCTTTCGACAAGCGCCCACCTCCAACAAGTTGGTGCCATATGTTCTTCAACTGGCTCGGCTCGCCATACGGAAGACTTGGCTACCTTTGAGCTGCCTTGATACATGCTCGGATTTCTACTACAGAGGCTAAGGCAGCGTATCCGAGGCGTCGTCCCCTAAGCAAGAATCGCTCATGGCCTCCCCTTGAAGCTGACCAGTAGTGCGGATGGGCAGGAGGTGTAGTAGCTTGGGATTGCTAGGCAGTAGAGAAGGAGTCAGGAGGCTGGAAAGGGGTTTGAACCGCCCATGCCCCTTGCGCGTACGTCCGAGAAGCTAGGACAAACTGATACTGTACCCCGAGGTCGCCGAACGCATGTATCGGCAAGGTCTCTGGCATACAATTGTGTGGGCTGACGGTGTGATGGGCGAATCTCCGGAAGAGTGCCAGCTGCTATGCGCATGCGTGTACTACTCATGGCACTCAGACCTGCTGCTCGATGAACGACGGCCTCATGCGGAAATTTGGTACAGCCCGAGTGACCCCGGAAGAATGGCAGCCAATTCGTTCATTCATAGGGTACTATCGCGATCGCTTCGAATGAATCATTTTCATCAACATCATAGAACCACGGACGGCCATTGCTCTGCATTATGTACCCTACGCGATGGTAGTAGGCATCTGTCTGATCGCATCACCAATCCAAGTGAACGCAGAGAGGCTGATGCGGGGCCATAAGGTAACTCTGGAGGGCTCAGTGCCAGAAGTGGTGGCTGGAAGCGGTAGGTTGTCGAGCTCAAGAACTGGACCGGCTTCTGCGATGCTTATGAGAACGGGTGATGCGAATGCCAATGACACCGGCGCACCTGCGATGTAGTGAGTAGCCACGCTATCCGCAGGCGACGCTCCCGCGGCCCGATCAGCCGCCTCGCGTCGCAGTCTTTCCTCTATAGCGCGTTTCCGTGCAGGACTCCCTGTTGTCGACTTCAAACAGAGATTTAACAAGAGGAACAACTGGCGGGGTCAGAAAGGCGCACCAGAACATCTTTCAAAAGCGTCTGCACATCGTCGCGGATCTGGGTCGCTTGGGCCTCGAACACTCTATCCCAATACTTGGTTTCCGAGCACTGAATCTCGTAGTACGCGTATTTCTGCATTTCACTGCTCGGGTAAGTGTCCGGTAACAGTGCAGAAAGGTGATGAGCAACGCACGTCGTGAAGCGCCGAAGTAGCTCTTTGATGGAGAGCATTCCAGGATCCTTCGCAGCGTCCATCTCCTTCTTGTCATCCTCGCTGAGATAATGCAGATGCTCTTTAATCTTCAGAAGAACGGGATAGACGTCGGATGCATCGGCGCGCGAGTTGACGCAGACGTATATCTTTCGACCGACAACAGCGGCTACTGCCGAGCTACTGAAAGCCAGTGCCGCTTCGAGGAGTCCCGTTACAGCACTGGCGTCCTGTGCGCCGTCCCACGCATCGCTCATGGTTCTATCTGAAAGGTGTGGAAAACACGGACTGGCCGCGATGGTATGTCGGAAAGGAAGGGAATGAACGTAGGGAGACTGTCCCAGACAGACTCGGCGGAGCAACCAAATCGCGCGGCGATGGGGGAGCGAACCAGGCGAGAGGACATCGCTTATTACTTATGTATGAGCTTCTTGAGAGCTCCGGTCCTCAGGACCGTCCAATCGCGCACGCGAATTCAAACCTACACGGAGCGCTCGAGTCGTGGTGTAAGACGCCGAAAAGATGCGAGGCCTTCCCCATCATATTTCCAAACGACATATGTTTTGCCAATCTGCGCAAACGCGCTTTGGCATCTGGCCAGGTCCGTCCGCGAAGACTAGCGGCTGCAGAGCGGCCAGTGCGTTGTCTGCCATGGCATATCCGGCTACAAGACATTCCTTGAACCTGCAGTCCATCATCATATCCCCTTCGAGAACAAACGCAGAGGCGGCAGTGCTCTGCCGGTCCGTGAGTCGGACGAGTTCGCCGTCCACCGTCATCACGCCTCATGAAAAGCGTGAGGACGAAGGGAGCTACAGACGTAAACTGTTTGAGTTCGTTTGCCGCATGTGTCCATGACTGCGGTGCAGATACCGGCGGCGTTTCCGACGTCCTTCAGCCACGTAGACATGCAGCCTATGGGTTTGGGCGAGCCCTGAGCGGCTCCAGAAGTAGATTGTACAATGGACGCTCGAGCGGCTCTGGCAGCGCGCAAACCGCCAGGTCGTGGTCAGGGGCACGATCGGACCCGCGCCGCAAGCGCCGGCAAACTCCCACCTACATTGATGTTCCCACGACGGCTTTTGTGGTGGACATTCCATGATCCCGAAGACTTGCTTTACACCACGTCGAGCTACCTGTGACCTGGGGTGCTCTGTGCCATGCCGCCCAGTAGGCAAGAGCTAGAGGCGATTCTGCAGATACCGAATGATCTTGCGGAGCTCTATCCATCGGAAATTCGTTGGCGCGACCGACAGATCTTCCTTCAATCGAAAGGTTACCTGCTCCGGCCCCGTCTGCGTCCTGGGTGGACTCCGTCATGGCTCAGTAACGGGAAGCACCCTATGAAGTGCGAGGATGGCATTGCTCTACCGGTACGCGCTCGCTCAGATCTTGCAAGACCAGCTCAGGCTCACGCTTGTAGGCACGCGCCAATCTCGTAGATGCGACTCGCGTGTCTGACGGCAAGTTGGTATACATCAAACGCGTGCCAACAGGCGGCCTCGAACCGTCAATTGCCACTGCACTATCCTCCGAGGACATGCGTCTCGACTCTCGGAACCATTCTGTCCCTGTTCTTGATCTCTTCGTTGACGAAGAGAATCCCGAAACATCGTATATGGTCATGCCATTTCTTCGATACTTCAACTCACCCGAGTTTCGGACTGTGGGAGATGTCGTGGATTTCGTCGACCAGATCTTGGAGGTATATAAGTCGGCGATCCTCCCGTCGCGAATGAAGTCTGAAGGGTCTGTAGGGATTGGTCTTCATGCACGAGCAGGGTGTCGCGCACCGAGACTGCTCCATGCCCAACATTCTGATGGACGCCGAGAGTCTCTTTCCTCGCGGCTTTCACCCTGTTCATACTTCGTTATTACCAGATGCCAAATCTCCTGCGTGGCCACTAACGCGCTCGCAAATAGGTGTGCGATACTACTATGTTGACTATGGCATCTCGTCGTACTTTCCCGTGGGTCAAGCTCGTCAGCTTGTGACGGGAGACCTCGGAAGGGATCAAGAGGTGCCTGAACTGTCCGAAAACATTCCTTACGATCCTTTCCCTGTGGACGTGTACACCATCGGGCATCTTCTGAAAGCTGAGATATACGAGGTATGAACATTTCATGGACTTCCGAAATGACGTGCTCAGGATCGTTCTCTTAGAGATACTCCAATGTCGACTTTCTTGATGAAATAGTCGTATCCGGCATGCAGCGCGACCCTCAAAACCGCCCAACGGCGGCCGAGCTATTCAGATTGTGGAACACACACCGGATCCGCATATCAGCGCTACACAGGTCGTGGAGGCTAAAGGACCGTTCAGAATCTGTCGTGGAGGGAGCAGTATGGGACTGCATTGGCATAGTAGGCGCTGCCTTCACACTCGTCGGCTATCTGGCGCGTAGATAGAACTCGCCCGTATCGTTCGTACATGTACCCACGCCCGTTGTCGATTCTGATGCTCATGTGTACTCGTGTAACACAAATGTTATTTGATTTGCTCAGGCGTACGGACATCGCGCGGACATTGATGAGAACAAGAGCCTGATGGACTTGGCCTATACTGTAGATGACAATTAATCACCCTATATTCATGGCCGGATCGAACGTTTAGGGGCCTGTAGCAGGCAACGGGACCTTAGATTGACGTTTACCTGTCTACTGCAGCTGCTGTGATTACGTGCAAGAGACAATTGCATCTTCCGTTCCAAAGGGTCCGTTCGGATACCCGCGTCCGCGTTGTCTTCGGCCTGAACAAGAACAAGACGACATAGCGCCTATTCTGACAGGCCTGCACGCTCATCATGGCAAGGGAACTCGTGCAGAGGCTGCTGTCATATAGACTCAACATGCATACCTGTATGGAGTGTCGCACTCTAGTATCGTGTGATAGAGTGACCCTAATCTGCTCGTATAGAGGTTGACATGCAAACATCGGAGAGATACAGCATTAGAGAAGTAGGGATGGGATGGCGCCAATACGGTTGAAAAGGCCGATGACAAAACCGACTACCACAGACTCCTTGCGAGGCTTAAGCCTCAAAGCCCGCCCGTAACGCCCCGGTTTAGACATGGTCTTCCACAGATCCAAAGCCTGTGCAGCAGTGGGCCGAGCGCTGGGGTCAAGAGCGGTCATAGCTTTGATCAACGGATTTAGGAACTTGACATTGGAGTAGGGCTGGATAGCGATCAGAACGCCTGTGCCACAATGCACGTAATCTTGCATACCTTTGCGAACGCTTCCTCGAAGACTTGACCCACGCTGAAGATATCCACCTTGAACGGATCGTAAGGAACGGTTTCTGATAACTCTGGAACATTTTGATTTCGACCGAAGATACCGGTGACCAGCGTAGAGGGTGTACCAGGGGGAAAATAGGAGGATATGCCAAAGTCCACATAGCAGTACCGCACGCTATGCTTGGAGCGAGATAGTGGTCTGACCGGCGACTTGAGGTCAGGGGTGAAGTCGAGGTTGATGGGGTGATGGCCGTGAGGATATAGGGCTGAAGCATCCATGAGCAGATTCTTCTCCGAGCAATCCCTGAAGTCTCATCAAGGGGTTGCCTTGCGAAAGATATTGAGTACTCACCGGTGTGCTACACCCATTTCATGTTGAAAGACTAAGCCCTGATGCACGTCAACAAAGGATACGCGCGGGCCGCAGAGGGGACACTCACTTCGAGATACTGTGTCACAAAGTCCAGACAATCGACAACACACTCGGGGGCCGGCCAATCGTAAGGCCGCAAGAAGGGCATGATTATATATGATATAGCAGGATCGACATCGTCCGGGAAGTGGTCGAGGATGGGAACTGCATGGTTTCGAGGATCGTCGCGGACGTTTGGTTCGTTAAGCAGCGATAGGATCGTAGACTCTTGATCACCGGTTCTGACTCGTTTGATGTAGACGAGAACTCCGTCTTTCGTGCGCGTTGCGTCCACAAGATGTTGCCGGGACTGAGATACGATGAGCACGAATACAGTACCGCACGTGGTGAAACATACCGGCAGTGCAACACTGTCCTCTGACCCTATTACTGCTTTCCCGCTCGTTCTCCAGGATGGTGTCCAGTCTGGTCTCAGGCGAGGGCGCAACATGTATCCACGAGACTGAAGGAACACTTGACGGTCGCGCCAGGCGATCTCAAGTGGGAACAGCCGAGAGAATAGCTCGTCATCCGACGCGTCGGACTCCTGGGGTCTCGCGCTGGGTTGCTCTGGAAGGCTCATACGAAGGAGGGTTGGGCAGGTCGACTCGCGAAGTGGGTGGTCGGTGACAGAGCACAGACAAGGGATGAAGTAAGCACAGACAGGGGGTATGCATGGGCGCTTCGGCTAGGGCGGGTAGTCCAACTATCTCTTCATTGCGACAATAGGGAGAATAGCGTGCGCTTGTCCAAACATGTCGGGCGTTGAGCGATGACAGCTGATGGTGGGAACAGAGAAGTGGCGGCGACAGGCGGCGACGGACATTGTTTCGCACAGAACGTCGCGACAGGCTGCGTCAGCTTTCACCGCCACGACCATCTTGGGCACAAACGGAACTCATTTCTATGCTCGCCCTTGTACTGATCCGTCGAAAGAGGGTCCTCCGTGCCCCATACAGGTATCCTCAAGTCTTCACCGTTCGGCCATAAGATGCATTAGTGTCGGCGAGCCCCATACCGATCGCTTTGACTTCGCCCTTGTTCCACGCAAGGAAGATGTTTTCATTTTGTAGGGCTGATTCATCGTTCTCTCGGGTCCTGTCACGTCAAACAGCTTTGGTTGCTACGTAGCATGGGCGACTATGGACGCCTATGCGCGCTTATTGATGAAGTATAAGTAGGAGAGGATCACTTCCGCCAGTGTGCCAGAGGCTGAGCCGCTCATTGAACCCCCGTATCATCTCTTCTCTATCTACCGGCATACTCTGGAAGTACGTCAGACCACCAAGTGACCGTTGTGCCCTTTGCTACCGCACCTTATCTGCTCTTCATCCGCCGGTCCGACCAGCAAGTCACTCGTACAGTACGTCTCCTGGACTCGTTAGCTACATGGCGCCAACCTTTCACTGCTTTGGAAGCATATAGGGAGCTTTACTATGCCAGTACCCTTGGAGGCCATCTCCCCAGTGTCTCATGCGCTCGAGCTTCTCGTAGGCGAATACAGGAAGAGGCTTGCGGCGGGTCGTTATCAAGAGGCGAGCGACGTTCTTCATGAGGCCAAGGAGACCTTGGCAGAGACGCGCAAAGAAGGTGAAGCCCGGGTGGCGGAAGTTGAAGAGGCTCGGCGCTCGTTCCATCCCGGCTTGAAGTCGATGGACGATCTCGATGAACGGTTAATCCTGTCAGTCCATTGCTCAGCGATCTCGTCCCATTCTTACGCGTTGTGTGATTTCTTTATGCAGAGCCGGCCGTCAACTCAAGAAGCACAAGTATGAGCTTGATAATGCGCCCTGGTTACAACGATGGCTGGTTCGGTCTGCCTTGGCGTTATCTCTCGAGAATGATCTGAAACTCATCCGAGATCTTGAAAAGGACGCGAGAGTGCGTTTAATCTCTTCTCCTCCTCTTCAATTCCTAACATATATCTAGGCAACAACTACCTGTCCCGAGCGTGGTCCTGCCTCCTCACCACCTGTTCACGAAGTAAAGAATCGGGAAACTCACCCTCGGAAGTCCCGGAGGAAGCAACTTCGTGAAGCCTTGATAAAGAGACTAACGAAGTATCAGAGAGTGGCTCAGGCGTGCGCACATCTAGACGTAGATATGTATACCGACGATATGGTTCTCGTCGACGGTAAGGCTCGATCTCCCTCGCAGCTTTCACTATCATATTGACGCATGGCCGCTTCAGGGCACCCTGCTCCTCTTGATAATGAGACTTGCATCGTCCTCTCTGAACTAATCGGTGTGTACACTGCGTATCTCGTTCTCAACCCGACGATGCTAACCGCGTTTCAGGCGCGGATTTTGAGCAAACAGTGGTCAACGCCCTCGAAGTTCTCACGCCATCATCCTTGTGGTCACCGTCCTCGTCTTCGTCGACGCTTGCCTCTCCGGAAGACCCCGATGGCAAATTGCTCGCGAAGCTCCAAGGTCGTCCGTCACTTGACTCCTTCTATAACAATGCGCGAGTATCTCTTGCTTTTGCCGCTCATCAGTGATGCCGCTGCATGCGCGGTTACATCGTCTCTGAGCTTCTTATATACCTACTTGTGCCTGCATCTTCATCGGACTTTTTGCGATTCATCATGTTATTATATAAAGGGCTATAATACTACGCCTGTAACCTCTATCTCCACTGGTTCGGGGTGACCAGAAGATGTTTCACGAACGAATGTGAACCGGCATATAGACCGGCAGCTACGACGTAGATGGACCAGAAGGTGATCCTCTAGACGCGATTGGGATTGACGGTGTCTACGTCTGTGTGCCACATCGGTTTGTGCCCCAAGCGTCAGGTCCGCTCTCCGTACTTACTACTATGCAGAGCTAAAGACATGTGACTGCGTGTAGACAAGCGAAGCTTGGATACTCGCGGTGCACCGGATGGAAGCAAGGCGGCGCAAAGGGGATGTACGAGGTACAATTGGCGTCTACTTACAAGGAGCGCAGGGTCGATCAAAGCCTGAAGCGTCGTCAGTCTGTGCGCAGCGACGACGCGGTTCCTCTCGGTGTACTCCTCGAATACGGCTTCAATCGTGGGCACTTGCGTCTCTGACGGATGCGATCAGTAGCAGTACTGAGGAAGTGGTACATGATGCATACTAGAGTCGACAATGAAGAAATTCTTCTTCCGATGCTCGCCCACTTGGCCGATGCCGGCGAGGAGCATCCCAGTCACGGTGTCCTATCGACCGGAGTGATTCAGCGCCCGTCGGCCTGTCGGTATTGCGATAGTCCACAGTGTGAGCGCACCTCATCGCCTATCACCGCAAGCAGATTGCGGTCCTTGAACTGTGTGGTCATGGCGGGCGACGACCAGAACGCTAACCGCGATCGGACAACTCGCGGCCGGTGGTGACGCGCGCTCGCACGCTTGCAAGAGCCACAACTTGCTTCGTACCACCATGACTAGACACACTGTCCCTTCCCCTCGCGGTCTATGCAATACCCAAATTGAGTGAGGCAATGAGTTTCGAGGACGGCGACTCGTGGCGTAGCATCGAGAAATGCGGCGTGGACAGATGTTCTCCTCGCGCCTAGACCGCCGTAACTTCAAATCTAGCAGTGCCCGGTCGCCGCCAATCTTCTAGACACATCTCAGATACCACGCCCCCGACTTGCCTCGAGTAGAAGACGAATGAGGATATCTCTTTTGGTGGCACGTTACTCATTCCGGTACGCGTGTCTACTACCGTACGGGGCTGGACTCGACTGATGGAGAACCATCTGACAGGTGCCATTCGATCCATCCCAGCTATTCCGCTTCATGAGAGACTTCGACTGCCCGTTGCATTGTCCATCGACCGTCGCTACTACCGTCATCTGACATACGGAAGCCGGTTGCCAACTTTAATACACATATTCCCCCGCCTTCCCTCGACGTTTCACGGCCAGCCTTGTCCGAACACCCGCGGTTGGTCGTACGATAGCCTCCCGCGCCTTCCTGCAACGCAATGGCGCAGAACCCATGGCCTTCCAGCTACTACTTGTGATGTGCACCATTGACACCCGGCGCAAGGCTTGGGCGTCCCACGCCTGGTGTTCTGATATCCCATGGCCGTGTCACCCTCCCCGGCCACTAAACATGTAATTGCGGCGATGAAATGCTTTCTACTGGCTGTATATGGGTCGCGAGAGGCGTAATCGACTCGACTTTGGCGCTTTGGCGAGCCTGGACCGTCGCAATCAATAGAATCGAAGCTTTCGTAGGACGTATAAGAGTGGCCCTTGCTTCACTGCAGCATCCCCAGAGCAGCACCAGCCTCCAAGCATGTTGTCTCTAAGATCCACACTTCTCCTCGCACTTCTTCCCCGTGCCTTCGGGCTGGGCATACTCTTTCCACTCTACTTCTGCGGCGGCGAGGGAGGGAACTGCAACACGACAACCTGTCCCAACTATAGCTCCCTATTATCTGGGTAAGCATTCCGGCATCTCCATCGACTGCCAAAGCTAATTTGAAGTGCAGCATTCAAGCGCATCCAAGCGTCACCCTCCACATGATCGTCAATCCCTTCAACGGCCCGCTGTCGACAGCAGTGATCAACGCGAACTATACGAACTATCCGGCGTGCCTCCCACATCTGAAGACCGCCACTCCCGCCAGTGCTCTCTTGGGCTATGTCAGCACCAATCATAGTCACCGTCACTGCGAGAACATCACCGCGGACATCAGAACATACGCGTCTTGGCCGTCCTCGTACCGTCCCACCGGCATCTTCTTCGACGAAGCTCCATCCAACGCGGGAAACGTCTCCCTATACAAGTATTATGCAGGATTCGCCCGTGGAATGGGCTTCTCTTTCGTACGCGGTTTGCAATGATCAGAGGTTGAGTCATCGCGCTGATGGCGGTGTGTCGTAGATCGTCTTTAACCCCGGCACGAAAGCCGATTCAGGCTTCTATGACCCGACTGCGGCGGACATGGTCGTTACCTACGAAGGTCCTTTGTTCCCTCGGAGAACATGACCTTCTCTTCCTCGACGCCGGCCGCGAAGCAAGCCGCGCTGGTGTACAACGGTCCCACGACCTCGCCGGCGCCGCTGATCGATCAGGTGGGCTCTCTCGGAGTCGGTGCGGTGTTCGTCACGGACGATATCTACAACAATCCTAAGGACAACCCTTGGGATTCGGTCCCGACTTTTTGGGCACAGGAGGTTGCGGATGTCGCGGTTTTTGGACTTGACGGCGGCGGGTTGATGCAGTCTGACCGACCCTCCCAGAAGGTCTTAATCCCTGATTTGCAGAGTGAAATTATCTCTGACTGCCTGGCTTGAGTCCCACTGGTACGATGATTGTACGATGACGTAGTGTGTACATTAAAGACAACTGTGACTTGTGTGGGATGGCTAGCGTAGCGATGTGGGATCGGAGCCCGAATACAAATCTTCAACAAACAGTCTCTTCAGATCCATGCAAAGTCCCGACTTCTTTGTCTGAGCACGAATCTTCGACGTCATCGAAGAGAAAGAATGCGCGTAGGGGCACGGACGTAAGATCCTCCTCAAGATCATCCGCGGCGGGTTGTTGAGACTGAAAGCTGAGCGTCTCCGCATCTGAATCTAATCAGGCCCCTGGATCAGTTGCATATTCAATAACGAAAGAACTGTAAGCTACTCACTGAGACTCTCCACACGAACCGCGGTCAACTCAGGAGCATCTCCCGTGTCGAGTTCGTTGCTCCGTTGTTCCGGGTCTTGACTGCGCGTGTATATAGTGGTAGTTCTCTGTTGGATGTTAAGTGTCGTCCACCTTGAATGCACATCGAACTCACCATAGTGTCCCTATGCAAACGTTCCGCCAGCCGCCGCATATGATTGACCTCGTCCTTGGTGCTGAAGACGTAAGAGACCATATTTCCGAGATGTAACCCAATGGCTCCGCGCTCGCAGCGCTCGCATTTTAGACGCTTGAACTCTACTGCGAGACTAGGGAACAACCGAGCCGTCAATAAGCAATGCCAACGATCTGAATTTCAAAGCATACCGCTTGTGTCGTTTCCGTAGTTCGCCCAGCGAGTCATGAGACGCCTCGCAACACTCGCGAATCCGCCTCTTATCCTCGTCATCCAGGCGATCGAGCATGCTCACGACGTCGTCGAGCCGTTCTTTGATCGGCCGCAATGGACGATAAGCAATCTCAAAGCCGTCCTTGTAGGCCCATATATGCAGACCGGCTGAGACAATCACAGCAGTCTGTGTGGCGAAGGATACAATCCCCGCTATGGACGCGGAGTGGTCGGTGTCGTTCCAGGACATAAAGGAAGAAAGCGGCAAGGCCAGCGAGCGCAAACAGTCAGGAAAGGAAGGGTAGCGTCCGGGACTTGGAAACTCAACCAGTGAGCTCTGAGAAAGACGGGAATGACCCTGAAAGGGTTATATACAGCGCATGTGGCCGTTGAGGCGGCGTGACCTCGCAACAGGACGAATGTCATTGAGTACAGAGCCTACATCAAAACGGAAAGCGGGGACCTTGGCCCCAAGGAGATGCGCCGGACAGCTTCTCAGCGTATAGCGTGTAAACAGATCTTCGACTCGGACATGAACAATACGAGCCGACCGTCGGTCGCCCATACAACACGCATTCTCAGCGTCTGAGAGAGAACAACAGCGAACATCCCATAAGAGGAAGGTATGTATGCCTGAATGTCCCAGCGTGGCTTATTACTCAACTTCGCCTCATCCTTCTCAAAGGGGAACAATAGGCGAAGAAGCGAGGACATGACGGCGTGCGGTAAGTTGACGTACCAGGTGCGCAGCACAGACGACGCCGCGTTGCCGCCCGAGCAACGCTTTTGCGCCGCAACATCCATCATCATGAGCGTCTATCGGTCCAGGTGACCCGCTTCGCTTCTCGCCGGTGACGGCGAAGTTAGAACAAGCAGCTCGCAATAGACGCACTCACAATCCTACCGTCTCTTCGCCCCGCCATGTCCGACGTCTACGTCGACCGACAGCAACTTGAGAGAGATGAAATATGGTGGAGGGATCGGCAGCAGTTCCTGCAGTCCAAGGGCTACATGCTCCGACCTCGCTTTCGTCCTGGCTGGGTACCCTCGTGGCTCACGAGTGGCAAGCATCCTTACAAGTCGGAAGATGGAATCCTTCTACCGGTGTGCTCTCTGGTTTTCTTGCACGCAGACTCTGTACTGACACTGGTCTAGATGGCCAGCCATACTATAGATGCTACTCGCATGTCTGACGGAAAGATGGTTTATCTCAAGCGTGTCAAGGCCAAGAATCGCGAGGCGTCGATCGCGTGCTCTCTATACTCAGAGCCCTTGCGTAGGGATCCCATGAACCATTCAGTCCCCGTGCTGGATACATTTGCGGACCCTGTTGTTCCCGGCGACTCGTTCATGGTTATGCCATTCCTCCGCGAGCCTGACGATCCTCCCTTTGAACGGGTCGGCGAAGTTGTGGACTTTGTCGACCAGGTCTTACAGGTACCACCGCTTGCTTCCATATCGTCTATCAAGGCTGACACATCGGCAGGGACTGGTTTTCATGCACGAGCAGGGTATCGCACATCGAGACTGCTCCCTCGACAACATCATGATGGACGCCTCTGAGATGTTTCCGGATGGCTTCCACCCAATCTTTCAGGACAATGGGCTGGACGGCTTCTCCCGCCTACGCTCACGGCCGAGAAGTTTCGTCTCGGTCAAGTACTACTTCATCGACTACGGCATCTCGTCTGTCTTCTCCCCCGGCCAGCCCCACCTTGTAACTGGTTTGGATGGTCGTGATCGAGACGTGCCAGAGTTGTCGAGTACTACGCCATACGATCCATTCGCAGTCGACGTCTTCCTCATCGGCAATATGTTCAGGAAGACTCTTTTCGGGGTGAGCGAACCCCGTGATCCGAAATTGCGCTTTTCTCACTCCTTGTGCAGAAGTACTCTAACTTGCAGTTCCTTGAGTTCTTGGTACTTCGAGCAACACATCCAACGCCGTCCCAAAGACCTGAATCGCACGAGCTTTTGAAGCTCTGGATATCGGAGCGGGATCGTCTATCGCATCTGCACAAATGCTGGCGCTTGCGAGAACGGACCGAGTTCACGTTGACAACAATCATCTGGGACTGTGCCAGCTTGGTTGGCTACATATACTCTTACCTAACATTCCTATTGACTTGACGGATACGTGTTCGTTACTACAACAACGTTGTGTCTTTCCGGATACTGCTGCGATGAGTTCAGCTGTTATATATCTCCAAGCGCCCCTCAGTACAGATCGAGTGGACCGAATTGACGTCTTCAGCCGATAGGGCATGTATATCGCGTGTTTACTTCGCAATTTGCCCGTCCAGTGTCTGCTCATCTGCCCCGCTTATGGCAAGCTCAACGGCGTGGGGACGGGTAAGAATGGCCGGCGTTTGGAAGAGTAAAAGCCCGCTCTAGCCTGTCAACGCCCGCTCAGCGCTTAGTACGACTATCCCTCGGGGCGGATCTCATGCTATTGTATAGGTGACTTCTACATATTGTGCACCGGTAGAGCTGTTACCAGGGCGCAGGTCTTTGACGCTCGACGCATGCTCAATGCATGGCCGTGAAACCCGGGCGTGGCGTCATCTAGACGTACACCCGGCTGCGCTTATCCAAAGCTTGATCTGGGTGTGTGCTGGCATATATGCGAGTGCCTGACCAAACGACGGCGTAGGTCCTTGTGGGTCTCACTCCGCTGTCCACAGAAAAGGTTTGAGCGTCTGCTGCACTATAGGTATCTACCCAAAAGTGCGAGGAAAAGGTGGTAGGACTAGTCGGGCCTAGTTCATCGCGTGGTGCAGCTATTTTACGATGTCAAGTTGTCAGGTACCCGTAAGATGGGCACGCGTGTGCGCGTGTGTAACCGTACCTCCAAGCAGCACAAATGCGCTTGGGCTACGGGCACCATGCCTTCTAGGATCCGGCCCTCACTACGGCGGGGTTCCTGATGGAGCAAGGCGGACTTTCAGCCGCCAGGATGAACGGCGAACTCGACATGGCTCGTACAAGGACATGCAAAATACTTTATGGGGTAATTCGGATGCTGATGTACAAGAAGCAAGATCTTGCCCGCCGATCGTGCAAGCACCTGGGATGCTGAGAAGCCTGGAGTGTACGCTCTGGCTGCCGGCGCCGATGATCGCGCATGCAGATGAAGGCGGCAACAATTGTGCGTATGAGATACCATCTATGTGCGAAAGGATCAGGATATATGATTGCGCCAAAAGAGATTGCGGTCTCACCAGCGCAATCGCTCCGAGAAGAGATTCCGGCGGTCACGGTTGTCGGCCAGGTTATAGTACAATTGTATGTGTCATCAAGGATCCGCGACTGGAACACCCGTCGCCCTGGTTCGATAGGAGCAAGTCGTGGAACTCCCAGTAGTTGCATCCAGCTCAGTCGCCAGACGTACTCGTACCCTTCACTCTCACAGTCAAGTTGACAAAGCATTATGATCATAATCGTGGGTGTAAACAATGAAGACGCGTGATAACGGGGCAGGTATCGAGAATGACGAGGGTCTACAAGTATATCGGGGGAAGAGCACGGTACAGGGCGGACCAGCTGATGTGCGTGAGCCCTATATGAGCCAGCCCAGAATGATGAACGGCAGGAACAGCCGCGGCAGGCAACGGGAGCGTCTCAACGTCCACTGAATTGCGTTGTCAGTGACCAAAGGGCTGTCAACTTGAGTGATGACATACCTCCGCCAGCTTCAGCAAGCCGCATCGCAGCAGCGATCGCGCGAGCTTCCTCTTCTTCGCGTTCGGCGTCCTCTTCCCTGCGCCTGGGGCTGGTAGTGGTCGCCTACAGAAAGTCAGAGCGGTCCGAAATCATGGTGTGCCGCTTACTGACCACAACATCTTGATGGAACTGTTCCAGCGCTTCTTTGAGGTTCCGGTCTGCAGCGTCGCGCGTCCATGTTTGCTTGACCTTCTCCCACCTCGTTGCTGTAGCTAACTCGCCTTGCCGCTTGGTTACCTGGCGGTGGAAACTGTTGATGATCAATGTCAGGCAGAGACGAGATGGTAATTGAGCTTACTCCCAGTACTGGGTCTCCAACTCTTCCAGCGTCATATTCGTCTCATACCGAGCCTTCTCTATGAGTTCACGTTGCGCCGGCGGGAGTGAACCGAAACACTTGTAAGTTGTTTCGAGTTGTGTCGCCATGTCGGTCGGCTCCTGGAATCCAACGCGTAATACACCATCCTTCGCAGCGAAGATGGCTACTGTTCCAGCACCGACTCCTATGTACGGCAAGACGCTTGCGCCCGCCTGGATGCCTGACCAGATGAAAGCCATGACTGACGCCCTCGTGAGTTCACCAAGTTCGATAGATGATGATATCTGACTCTGAGAGCTTCACCTTAATCACGTAGTAAAGGAAAAATATTGAACTGGAGTAAGGGAATGTGAAAAGTGGTGTTGAGACTGTGCCAGACGGCCTCCAAGTAAGAGGTGAATTAGTAGTACGATCGACGTTCTGGGTTGTCAACAACTCAAGACTCGCCCTTTAAGTCTCTCCACGCACAGCACATTCTAATGTTCGCACGAAACAGGCGGATGTACATCAACGGTCCACAAGCCCTAGATCGTGATACGTCAGACGGTTCAGGCATAAGGGACACTATAACGTGAGAGGCTGCCGGCGGCTATGAGAGCCTGGCGCCAGATGACTGAGCATGCGCTACCTCGTATGAGCGTCGGTACCTCGATACAGTCCATGTCACATAAGCGCTGAAACGATTTGCGGCGCGAACCGATAGCGACGACGGGGTACTGTCAGAAGAAGCGTATTTGATCGATGGCGAGGTCGAATTCGGACGGGAATGCGTGGGAGGCTATAGGCCAAAACTTCATCATGACTACACGCCAGCCACGAGGGGGCGCAAGGATGATTGCGGGAACTCTACAGATGGGGGCGAGGACAAGAGAGACGGAATGACGCCGCAGCGCGCGCTGGAACAACCATGCGTTGGATTCACACGCCTCAGCGACTCATTAGCTCGATGCAGTTGCTTCGAACAGCCTTCTTGTCTTCCTTCGGCACGTACCCAACCACCCACGCAACGGCGTACAAGCCCCTCTGCTAGCCATGCAACCGAGGGAGGTCGACTATACAGAGTTATTCTCCAGTGAACGTCGCTGGCGTGATAAACAGCCGTATCTTCAGTCGAGAGGTTATATGTTACGCCCTCGATTGCGTCCTGGCTGGGTTCCGTCTTGGACTAGCACAGGGGAGGATCCACTGGACTGTGAAGATGGTATACGTCTGCCGGTGCGTCTCATAGGTTCCGGAAGGAGTGCAGGTCACTGACAGCTTATAGGCACGCGCGCACCTTGTCGACGCCACTCGCATGTCTGACGGAAAGCTGGTCTACGTCAAGCGCATCAAGACCGGCGACCAAGAGTCTTCGATTGCCTCAGTGCTGTCATCAGAACCTCTGCGAAAAGATCCGCGTAATCATACTGTGCCTGTAGAAGATGTGTTCGTGGACGATGAAGACCCCAGTACTTCGTACCTCGTCATGCCCTTCCTGCGCCGTCCTACCTCGCCACCATTCGAGTACGTGGGAGAAGTTGTAGACTTCGTGGACCAAGTTCTGGAGGTAAGCTCACTTTCGAGATTTTCTCGGTGTGCGCACCGACCTCCGCCATAGGGCTTGACGTTCATGCACGACCAAGGAGTTGCTCACAGGGATTGTGCTATGCCCAACATCATGATGGATGCCTCTGCCTTGTTTCCAGATGGTTTCCACCCTATCAAGCAGTACTCCCTACCTCACGATATCCGCAAAGAGTCGAAGTGGCTTCCCCGCATGCATGCAGGTGTACGCTATTACTTCGTGGATTACGGTATATCTTCTTACTTCCCCCCTGGACAACCGCGAGAACGCGTCACCGGTATTCTCGGTCGAGAGCAAGCTGTACCGGAGTTGTCCAACACAAAGCCATACGATCCTTTTGCTGTCGACGTCTGCATCATCGGCAATCTCTTGCACGCCGAGTTCTTGAAGGTACCGTTCTCAAGTGCATCTATCCCGATGAAAGTAATGACGAGGCTCGCCAGCAATACTCCAACGTCTCATTCCTGCAACGACTGGCCACAGAGGCCACAAGACGTAACCCCGAGGATCGTCCCGATGCTGCCGCGCTGCTAAGGCTGTGGACTGTTGAGCGCCGGCGCGTGTCAGCGGTTCACAAGTCCTGGCGACTACATGACCGCGGAGAGTCCCTCGTCGAGACTGCCGCACGAGATTGTTTCGGTCTCATCGGTTCCGCATGGGGATATGCCGGTTCAGTTCTGGGATGGAAGTGAACGGCACGCGATTCTATTCTTGTTTTCTCTGTTGTAGACGCTACTGTCTCTGCGCCTGTATCGCTCTGTCTCTGCTGATTCTTTCTGCTTTCTCTGTGTCGTGCTTACGTATTGTACTTCTGCTGTCCGTCACAGCCATGCTCTGATCTGACCGAAATTGTCATGTCACTGCCCATACAATGCTGTCTTGTCTACTCCTAGCTGTATCTATACTTCCCCTGAATGTCATTCTGTAGCGCTTACAAACGCCGATCGGTGCTCTGTCAAAAGTGACAATGAGCGCCACGTTACTCTTGCTTCTCAAGTCGGAAGAGCGACGCGCGGAAACTGTAAACTGATTGAGAGACATGAGAAAACCCGAAGCTGCCAGTCGATATCGATCGATAGCTTAGAACTTGGTGAACTCTGCTAATGATCGCCGCAGAACGGACGCTGAGAGCAAACTTAGATGCGGCCGGGTTTGACGGGGTCCACCATCTGCGTCTGCAAACCGGTTTGTGCTCCAAGCGTAACAATGCGCTTGGGTGCAATCCCTGTACACGCAGACTACCAAAGAGATTGCGTGTTAACAAGCGGTGCTTGGATGCTCGCGGTACACCAATTAGGAACAAGGCGGCGCAGCGGGAATGTTTGAGGTACAACTGGCGTACACAAAGAACGCAGGATCGATCAACGCCGCCAAAGCGTTGCGAGTGCGTCGATTAAGCCTCGTGTAAGTAGTCGCCGGTGGATCTCAGTGGATGACTTGCAGAGCAGCCCTGCATGAGCCATGGTCCATCAGCACTCCCCCTTTATTCCTCTTTAGGGCTTGCCCTTCAGCCCGTCGATTGGATACGTAGTCTCCTCACGTCTCTCGACCGGTCGCAAGCCAGTTCTGTGTGACAGATGCCGGATCAGTAGTCTTTTGATTGCAAGAATACTACTTGTCCGTCTCTCCGAGCATCCTCGTTGGAAGACGGAGACGCATAATCAATCCCGCTAGGTTGCCTGTTGCATGGCAAGTCGAACAGGAAAAGGGGGCATGTGGGGGTTGAAAAGTACATTTGCGCGAAGAATGGGCTTCGGAGTGAACGCAAGAGCCAAGTGGCGGACGAGCTGCGGCCCGAGTGCCGGCAGCAGGAAACCTGACAACAGACGCCATGTTCGGCTCCTGCGCTCTTGTTGCTGAGGCCCCCTCCCAGTATACCGCTGTTTATGGAACCTCAAACCGAGTGCACAACTTGTACACCGTCCGGCTCAGAGACTATATGACATGTGAACGCGTAATGAACACCCTCGAACGTCGATATGGACGTACAAGCGACGCCAACAACTAGGCGACCATCTCACGCCGCCTTGCCCTTATTCCCCGTATGATAGCTCGACGCGACTGGGAATGGTGATCTGGTCTGCCGGGACCGACTTTGCCTTGTGCTTTGGAGAAACGCGGGTGGGAAATACCTGAACGTCTGGGTATATGAGGCATGCCGCAAACCGGTCTCCTTTCATCATCGCCTCGATTTCCACAACCTGTCTGGAACAGTGTTCTATCTACCCTACCCTTGAACATCTCTCTACCTTCCATACTAGTACGGTATGTCGCTTTTGCCCACGTTCGCCGTCGCGGCTGGGTCGAAAGACGTGCGCTAACCGTGCGATTTGTCAGATATCACCATGTCTCTCAACGGCTCCTTGTGGGATGATGTTCAGAGTGCCAGCGCCATCCCATTAACCGGCAATCTGGTGGCCGCAGCAGGCTCCGCAGCGCTCTCCGTCTGTCTGAATCCTTGGACCGACTCGGACATCAAGACTCAACTCGAGTCGATACACGTCATGCTTGGCCAACTCACGGAGGATCAGAAAAAACACATTGAAGAGGCGCGCCACGCTTCCGATTGCACGTTAGAGGAGCTTGAAGCCCGTTTGCTCGAGTGAGTGGCTTTGACTCGCTTTCGCTTCATTGGCAACTGCTTACGTGTGCTCAGAGCGTTGAAGAAGTATGTCCGTCGCGAGTCCGAACGGCAGTCCACGTCGTTGCCGCAGAAGATCCTGTACCCTTTTGCGCGGGCCAACCAGGAAACGAGGGGACAGCTACACGGCGATCTACAGCAGCTACACAAGGACGTTCTCGTGCGTATCGTTTTTGCCTTTCGAGCTCAGCGTTTCTCATAGTACACACAGTCCACGTTCACGAAGCACAAGGGGGCTCAAGAGAAAGCGCAAACGCAGGGATCCCTGGCATCGTCCTCCAACAGTGAGTTGCCGTCACTCAGTGCCGATTGCACTTACTCAATGGCGATCCAGATGGAATTGTCACGATTTAGCTAGCTTCTCTGCCTACGCCCGACGCCGCACCGGCCACGAACCGTTCCACGATCTAGCTGTACGTCTCTGTGGCGCGAGTCGTTCTTCCAATGCTCCGGTAACCTTGGGATGCGGCGTTTGGATATTATACCCACTTCTCTTGCCCTCTCGCATTTCATCCCTAGATCCCATGTTCTGATGCTCTCGGACATGTAGTACTGATATTCATCTTGCTGGCTTCAAGTTCTCTCTTGGACATGGCTCCGTCTAGTCACTCGTTTGATGCATTAATATATCCACCTACTTAATCGCGATAGTGGAGCGTGAACATGAACAAAGGACTCGATGACCGCGCCGACGCAGCATCCTCGAGCCACAAGGCATAGGGTTGAGAAGGTGATGGTTCTTGGGGGGTCATCACGCGCATACCGCAGACTTCGGACAATGGTGGGCGGTGAAGCGCACCTGCGCCCGCGCAGACGCGCGACCTCGGGTAGCCTCGGGGATTGCTCCCACGACCGAACCGCGCCTAGCCCGTGACGCCGAGCTCCCCAACCTTGAACAACAAGCATTCTTGGCCTGGTAGGTAATTGGAGCTAAGCTACCGCGTATTTCTCAAGCTTCCATGGGATGAGATGACGGAGTGTACTATAGAACCTCCATATCCTCCATACAGAGACTGAGTTCATAGAAAGTCGTCCCAGGAACTTCCACCTGGATGGTGGTCGAAGGAGACAAACACGACATCCTATACGCGTCGACGGCACGTCAGCTAGGCTTTGTGCACAGTTGAGGGCGGATGTATGAGACAGCTCAGTTCAGGTCGTGAGGACCGAACCCTCAGGACTCACGTCGTCAGACGCGAGTAACGTATCGTGACAATCGATAATCTGGGAAGATGGGTACCCGTTATAGGGCCCATGAATGCACGCAGCGTCATATTGAAAAGGGTATACATATGAGGGCGCAACCGTACAGAAGTTAAGTGAATAGCGCAGGGAAAGCCCCGATCCGATCGAAGAGACCGATGATTGCGCTGACTGGCGCAAGCTCGTCTCGTCCTCTCAGCCTCAAAGCGCACCCATAACGGCCCGGTTTCGGTAATGCAGTCCACTGAGCAAGAGCCTCCGCGGCGGTTGGCCGAGCAGTGGGGTCGCGCGCGGTCATGTATTGTATCAGCGGCTTCAGAAACTTGACGTTCGAGTACGTCTACACGCCCGCGTCAGTAAGGGCTCAATCAAGCACAGGTGAAGAACAAACCTTGACGAACGCCTGTTCGAACACCTGTCCCATACTGAAGACGTCCACCTTGTACGGATCATAGGGTACAGTATCCGACAACTCCGGCACTTTCTGGTTTCGGCCGAAGATGCCCGTGACTAGCGCAGACGCTGATCCAGGCGGAATGTGCGATGATATACCGAAGTCGACGTAGTAGTAATGCACTTTGTGCTTTGAGCGTGGTAGCGGGCGTACAACTTTGCTGTAATCGGGCGAGAAGTCGAGTTTCGTCGGATGGTGGCCGTTGGGGTAGAGGGAGGAAGCGTCCACCAAGAGGTTCTTAGCAGAGCAGTCACTGATTGGGCGTCAGAAGACGACGCACGTATGGAGCATTGTGCTGTGCGCGGCACGTACCGATGCGCGACCCCCTTCTCGTGCTGGAACACCAAGCCCTTCCAAGAGGCGTAAGTAGAACATCAGGGTGGCACATGCATCAATGCGCACCTCCAAGTACTGTGTCACGAAGTCAATACAGTCGCTCACTCTCTCCGGGGGAGGCCTGTCGAGAGGGCGGAGGAATGGCATGACGATGTACGATATCGACGGGTCCACGTCGTCTTGAAAGTGGTCCAGGATGGGGACGGCATGATTCCGAGGATCATCTCGCAATTCAGGAGCGTTCAGGAGCATGAGGATGGTCGACTCCTGGTCTCTAGTCTTGACGCGTTTGATGTACACGAGCTTGCCGTCGTCGATCCGAGTCGCGTCCACTAGATGTTGACGCTCCTGGAATGCACCGTCAATAATGGCGGTACAAGTGGCAACACGGTCGGTGACGCACCGGAAGGGCAAAACTATCTTCGGAGTTGAAGATAGACTTGCCGGTAGTTCTCCAAGACGGGACCCAGCCTGGCCGGAGACGAGGGCGCAACATGTACCCGCGAGATTGGAGGAAGACTTGTCGGTCGCGCCAGGCAAGCTCCAAAGGAAAGAGTCGCGAGAAGAGCTCGTCGTCAGTCTCTTCTTCGTCAAACTGAGCATTCGGAGGAGTAGCGGTGGCGGTCATGCGTAGACGGGTTCCAGGTCGTGGTGAGAACAGCGCGAATGGGAGGGTAGGTCTAGTTGTTGGTCAAAGTATGAGACCTGCGGGTACTCGAATGACAATAGCAAGCTGCCACCTGCATTGCGCATATCAAAGTATAATAACATGGGCGGCATGCGATCGATGTCAGATTGGCAGTTCGTGAAGGTTCCGATGCAGAGACGAGCGCTTCGTGAAGAATGCGGTGTCGCCGCGCGGGGTAACGACAAGGTAACGCGAGGCGGTGACGGAGTGACAAGTTGCACATGATCGCTTCTTTGCACTCGCTACCATTGTCCTGCGGGATACATGGACGTCGTCGTTTTGCACTCTCGTTGCCCGAGTGTTCTTATCCGAGCAAGAGCAACTCCGGAAGAGTTCAGACATTCGCGTCTTCATCCGCGGCTTTCACGAGTGCGCGCAACATATATAGTATTGTAGTGGGTATAAAGGAGAAACAAACGACAAATACGATGAGATAAGTCAAGAGAACAACGCAGAAACAGCCCCAATCCTATCAAACAGCCCAACAATCGGGCTGACCAGCGCCGGCTCGTCCCGTCTCCTCAGCCGCAAGGCGCGTCCATACCGCCCCGGTTTCGATATCGCGTTCCATTTCGCAAGTGTCTCCGCGGCCGTCGGTCGAGCAGCAGGGTCCTGCGCGGTCATGGCTTGTATCAGCGGTTTCAGGAACTGCGTGTTGGAGTACGTCTGCGTCAAGCGAGCGCGTGTCAATTACATATGCGCAGGCTAGACTGCGAGGATGCATACCTTTGTGAAGAGTTCCTCAAAGACCTGTCCCATGCTGAAGATATCCACCTTGAGCGGATCGTACGGCACACTATCCGACAACTCCGGCACATTCTGGTTGCGCCCGAAGACACCCGTGACCAAATTGGATGCAGACGATGAATTGGGAGGGATATGCGATGAGATGCCAAAGTCAACATAGTAGTACCGCACACCATGTTTCGAGCGTGGTAGGGGGCGCACGACCTTGCGGTAGTCGGAAGAGAACTCCAGTTTGATTGGGTGGTGCCCGTTGGGGTAGAGCGCGGAGGCGTCTACGAGCAGATTCTTGAGAGAACAGTCGCTGAAGAGCCATGTATCAGATATGGCGATGTAGTACAAGCGTGATACAGGTGATACGTACCGATGTGCCACTCCTACTTCATGTTGAAAGACCAGTCCCTGCATAAACTTCAGCCTCTTTCCGACGCCACGCGGCAAGTGGAACACACCTCTAGATACTGAGTGACCATATCGATACAGTCCCTGACCCGTTCAGGGGGTGGCCGATGGAGTGGTCGAAGGAAAGGCATCACGATGTAAGATATAGACGGGTCCACATCGTCTTGAAACTGGTCCAGGATAGGCACTGCATGGTTTCGAGGGTCGGCACGTTTGTCTGGCGCGTTCAAAAGGTTGAGGATAGTCGACTCTTGATCACCCGTCTTGACGCGCTTGATGTAGACCAGTTTGCCGTCGTCGACGCGGGTCGCGTCTACCAGATGCTTACGCTCCTGTGACCCGCCATGAGTTACGAGACGGGTGTGAAAAGGATCAGACAGCGTACCGGAAGAGGGATATGGTCTTCTGTATGGATTATCGGGACGTTGGTGGTTCTCCAAGAGGGTACCCATCCCGGGCGTAGGCGAGGTCGCAACATGTACCCGCGCGTCTGGAGAAAGACCTGTCGGTCGCGCCAGGCGACTTCGAGGGGTAGAAGTCTCCCAAGGACTTCATCAGCCGTCTCTTCGTCTTCGTCAAGTGAAGCAGTCGGACGAGGGGGGGCGGATGCGGCCATGATAGTGCAGGTCTGTCTGATCCTAGGTTGCTGGCGGGTATACAAGAGCGTTTTCACCTCCGAGGGTACAATTGGATGCTCGGACCGACGGAGAACAAGGGACGGTCAGAGTGTACGTGTTGCATAGCTAGTATAATAGTGTGTGTATGCATGCGCCTTGCTTCCGTTTGACAGTTGGTGGGAATGGTCAAGTCGGCAGATGGCGATGAGCGCTCGTTGCAGAATGCGGCGTCGCCGTGTTGGGTGCGCTGGGGGTCAGCCTGACCGATGCGAAGGGATTGTCATCACTTTGAGCATGGGAGCCATAAATGCAGGTCCGATTATGCGCAAAGGCTACAGAATGGGAAATAGGCCATCTGGACGTCATCAGGTATCTGAGGTAACGAATGGTGATGGGAAGAAGCAAACGCGACATCGACGCGTCGACGCGTTTCCCTCGACGCGTTCTTCTCCCAACTCCCATGCAGTCCACCACAGAAATATTCAACCGCCCACCCTCAATAGCCGAAGATGCCCTGCACTACTCCCTCCACCCCGCACCCTCCTCCTCCTCCAAAACAGACGTCTCGGCCCTAGCGCTGTCCATCCAATCTTACCTCGACTCGACGCTCAGGGGCTTCATCTGGCACCGCGACTCTTTCGAGCTCAAGCTTATGCAAGACGAGGACACGAAGCAGTACTACATTGGTGGCGATATGCGCGTGGGGGACTCGATTGATGACGAGTGGTGTGCGGTGTGGTTGTTGAAGGAGATCAGCGCGCGGTGGGATGTTGCCGTCAGGTACGTCTTCCTCTACACCATCTCTAATCTGTACTAACTTCTTCTATGACAGCGTGTACGACTCGGACGGCGACTTCCTCCTAATCGAAGCAGCCGACGCGCTCCCAAACTGGGTAACACCGACCGTATCCGAAAACCGCGTGCGCCCACCCTCCAATATCTGTGCGTATATCCCCTCTTACACCCGTCATTATTCCAGGTCTGGATCTATGCCGCGCAGCTCCACCTCATCCCTCTCAAGCACGTCTCACCACCCCACACCGTGCGCCGTAAACGCCGGATCTACGCCGACGACGATGAGCTCGCGGGGTTTGCCGATGTCAGTGCGGATCCTGAGGCGGCGGGGGAATGGCTTGCTGTATCAGACGCTCTGAGGATTGTGAGGGACTCTGCTGTCGATACGCGTGCGCCTAGCGCTGTTGAAGAGATTGTGTGGAACCGTATCAGTGGATATCCCGCCGCTCTGGCATCACATGTGCACACGACCAAGGCATTTCTGCCTGTAGACGTCGCAAAAGCCCTAGCATCGAACCCATCTCTCGTGCAAAAGGCCGTAGAGACGTTCTACACGCGCGATCCTGCCCAATTACGCGTACGTACCCTATCCTCACTTCACTAAGTCACATACACGTCCTCATTCAACTCTACTTCTATGACAGGCCGCCCACAAAATGACCCGCTTCCCACCCTCGCAATCCGTCCTGCGCCGCGTCCGCCTCACACGTACCGCATACGCCCAGCTCGTCGGTCAGAAGTTCTACCCGCCCAAGATATTCGGCACGTTCCGAGAGCCCGAAGGGAGCGCGATGTGGAGATGGCGAGATGTCGGGATGAAGATCGTGCGCCGACCCAACCGCACCTTTGCTGTAACGGGGACTTACTCGCGTGATGATAGGCATGTGGCTTCGAGATGCTCTACCAAGAGAGTAAATCCCGGTCTGACTCTACCTCGGACGCTCTCCGCTCAGCTGTACGCACCTCTCTCTCCTTCTCCGTTGGCACTATCTCCCAATGCTGATCCATACCACAGGCCGATGCGCGCAAAGACGCTCTCCGGCGCGACCCCGAATACACCTCCTACAACCAAACGCTTATCTCGACCAACTACTTCTCCTCCGAACTCGAAGGATCGGCGAAATGGACCGAGCTCGAGGATAAAGCCGCGGACGTGTTCATCCGCACGCGGCAGTCTGAGTGCGTCTGTCTCTCCCTCTGTCTCTCCCTCTTTCTGTTCTTCAAACTCTTGCGAGCTCGTGGCTGATGAGTGTGTCGGTTGCAGCTCGACATCCACTCGGGCATCTTTCGCGAGTCTGGTAAACGCCGCCATCACGACTGCGCCGACCGACGTCGACTCGGAGCTCGATGCCGTTGAAGACTCGGACGAATGGCTCAACGTAGACGCCGCGTCATTCGACACGCTCCTCGCTGACCGAATGAACCCCAACCCCTCCACCAAATTCTCCTCCTCACAGTCCAAGTCCAAGCCGGCCGACGCCATGGACGTCGACACCAACCAAAAGCAGGGTGGAGATGGGGACGACGGCGAGATGAGCGACGGCGAGCTCAAAGCGGCCGAAGACATGCTGGCCAAAGAGCAAGCGGCGCGCTTATCAGATCTGGCGAGGAAAGTGGAGAAGTTCCTCGGCGCGAAGGGCGATGTTGAGGGTGCGCGGTTCGATGAGTGCGTATTCTTCCCTCATGTCTTTGACACATCAACTGATCGTGTTTCTTTCTGCTATAGCGAGAAGTCCGACGACGACGACGACGACGAAGACGGAGAAGGAGATGCGCTCAGCGACTTCAGCGACGAGCACTTCTCCTCTTCCTCCTCCTCCGACTCTGATGCAGACGAGGCAGAACAAGTCGAGACCGCAGCATCGCGCGCCGCACGTCAAGCGGCCATGGATCAACTCGTGCCACCCTTACCAGCCTCCGAATACGGCCAAATGCCCGCATCCTACCACTCGAACTCGCAACGCGTAGCGCGCGCGACCGTGCACACCGACACCCTCGGCGGCATCCCCTCCACCTCCACCTCCACCGCAACATCCCACCCAACCACCGCACCATTTGAACCACCTCGCCAGCCCCGCGCCCCGATCCTCATGCGCGACCGCTACGAAGGCGTCGACTCGGACGACGAAACGGACGCCTCCTCGGCCGACGAAGCCGGCGCCGAGTCGGACGCGGAGAACCAGCCGCAGATCGTGGACGACATGGGGGACGTCGAGGTGGACATGGCCGAGGAGGAGGACGAGTTTCTGGACTTTGCGCGGGGCGCGCTGGGGATTGGGGAGGAGGAGTGGGCGGGGATTGTGAGGGAGCGGAGGGCGCGGGGCGGTGCGTTTCTCTTTGTCACTCTTCACTTCTTTTGGGTAGATGCTGATTGCGGTTGTAGCGTTCGTGCCGGCGCACAGTACCGCCAAAAAGACCTCGTCCTCAACATCCGCGGGCACAAGCGCAAACGCAACAAAAGCCAACGAGCCCCAACTCCGCGCGCCCAAACCCGGCCCACGCCCGAACGCCAATCCGAACCTCGACTCTTTCGAGGCCGTTATGCAAGCTATGGAGAGCGAGCTTGCGCGTTCGCGCGCGGCGAAGGAGCCGTTCAGGGCTCCCAAGTCTGCGGCTGGCGTAACGAAGGGCAAGGCGAAGGCGAGAGAGGATATAGGGAAGGGGAAGGGGAAAGAGACGCTAGAGGACGCAGCGGCGGCCCTGCAAGCGTCCGTCGCCGATCAGCTAAACGCAACGATGAAAGCCGGCGCCGCTTCCGTCAAATCCCAATTCTCTACTGCCGCCCACACCGACGCAGACGAAGACGAAGAGATGGACATCGACATCGAAGCCGCGATGGACCGTGAGCTGCGCGCCGCTCTCGCCTCCTCCACCAACAACCCCGATGACTCCGCTGACGATGATGGCGATTATGACGGCGAAGTCGACGAGGACGGCTTACCGCTCAATATGGAGGGCGGGCTCGATTATAACCTCATCAAGAACTTCTTGGAGAGTTTTAAGAGCCAGGGAGGGTTGGCGGGTCCGGTTAGTAGTCTTGCGGGGAGGTTGCAGCCGGGGTGGGGGTTACCGAGGGACGAGGCGTGAGGGGGTTGGGGCTTCTTGTATGAGACTTAGATGCAGAAGTGACAGGAAGCGATGTATCACCAGTTATATGCTCCCATCCATGGCCGATAGTCCGGGGTCGCTCGAGGTCGAGATGGCATGAGGCGACACACTCCGGCCCGATGTTCCGATGTGGTGCCGAACCGTCTTTAGCTCCGACGCCCTCTGCACGCGAACACCGTCCCTTCCGTCAAGGTAACAGCAACTGCGGAGATCGACGACTTGTACTCTCGACTCAAAATCGTAGGTCAAGAAGTGTGATAGATACAGCAACGTGAAAAGACAGACACTAGGGCGATCGTCCCGAAAAGCCAAAAACAGCCCTGAAGTTCTCACTGATGAATGCATGATATTCGACGAGTTCGCGAAACACTTTCCGCTCTTCGAATGATAGATACTCCCCCGAGTAGCCCTTCATTATATCCCTCCATTGGCGCATGCCTTCTTCCGACGGTCGCTCGAGGAATGCATTTAGTGCCGAAGTCATCTGTGTGAGTAACCTGGTGGATGCGCAAGTTGTCAGCGGAGGAGTGGGGATGTTACGTTGCAGGACCTACTGCTGCATGATTGTCATCGGGTGGTCGAACACTGTACTGCCATGAGTGTTGCCGATCAGTGCAATGCTGTGTGCGAGGTCTGTTAACGCGGCATTGTACACCAACATCTCCACGCGCAAAAATTCCCCATATTCCTACACAGCAGATATTAGGTGTCGTACCATGTCAGATGCGCTGAGAACTGACAGGACCGTCGTCATTCCATTCACTGGTAGACTGGATGCGCGCTCGGAGTAGTTCGTAAACGAGGGTTGACCTCGAGAATTTGTCCTGGTCGGAGATCAGGGTGTCCACGACCTGCTGCGACGCCAATAGTATATGCTCCGGGTTGTCTATTATGCGAGCCATAATTCATCAATCAGACAGCATACATCCCGAGGACCTTGATTACTAACAATCCTAGGCCCCGGTGGTCAGCTCTGAATGCCATGATGGACATAGAAATATAGAAACACACGATAAATCGCGACTCGATGACATGGACGCGGTGACATTTGCGTGCGAACGCCATGGCTGCTACGTCATAGTCATTGTCGAAGTATTGGGCTATTGTTGTCATTGCAGTTACTGGCACGTCCATCTGAGAAAGAGCTAAGTCCACATCTGTGCCGCGATGTCTGAGATTCAAATAACAAGTCAGCACGTGGAAAATTGAAAGGAACGTCTCACGCGCCTTTCTGTAATGTCGGCTGCCGTGATAGCACCAGCTAATCTGACAAAGTCGAGCTCTACTAAGGTCTGTCGAAACCTCGGAAAGCAACCGGCACTGAACCAGATCTCTCAGCAGTGCGGCGTAACAATGGAAACATAAAGTCTTACCAGAATAGCTCACACGATGTTGAGCGAGTGCTGCACACGCAGCCACAGTAAGGACAATACCCATCTTCATCATCATCATCATCGTCGGCGTCGTCCTCAGGATCCTCTATGCACAGTAAGCCCATCTCCGCGCGGTTACCGGGTTCCCTCAACCAAGCCTCCCAATTATCTGCTGAGATGAGCCACGACGTTCCGGCCTTGAACAGCTCATAACACTTGCTAGAGACATATTCTGATGCGTCTGGTATCTCTGAGTAGAAGAGGTTCAAAAACCCTTGAAAGTACTGCAGCCAACGCGTCAATGATGATCTCACGGCGAGCCGAAACTCTACACACCTTGTACGAGGAACAGAAGTGGCTCGGTACGGTAATCTCCTCTCCTAGTAAGCCAATCAGGAGTATGCCGTTCTCGAGACCGTATCCCGGGTGCATAGGCGTGTGTGATTGAAGCCAAAGAACCTGAACGACGAGCGCACAGATAGCCGACCAGAGACCCGTAGCCTGCCATTCTAAGTTGACATTGTTGTGGACCACGAATGCAGCACCTGCGACGAGGAACGGCGCAAGCAAAGATAAGAACCGATCCCGTTGATCCTGCGGAGTGTCAGGAGCGAGGGAGTCGAAGATCATGTCGGTAACACGTTGGACGCGTGATGCGACTCGTCGATCGTGCGGCACGGCAAAGTACGGGCGGGAAAGAGTCTCCTCAGTAACTTGTCGGCGCGATATCGACGAGACCTGTTGGAGGGCAGAGCTGGGCACCATGAGTATCCGAGGCGCGACTGATACTGATTACTAGCACGAATATACTCACAGAGCCACGGCTTCAATCCTGTCGGCGGATCTGCGCGCTGCGAGACTCTGGCTGTGCACGACCGATAGGTGATAGCGCTGATCCTCCAGAAGTAGTGAGGTCGATTGACTACAAGAAGGGGTCAGCGACGAACTTTCCAGCCGAGCATGATACAGACGTACTGGCTAAGTAGCCCGATATACGTATTGAGTCGCTGGTGGCTCTCGCTGAAGCGCTTCGCGTACTTCGTCGCATCCGAGGCCTTGAGGAAGTGCCAATGGAGCTTGGTGAACAATGTGCCTGCGCGAGATGTGCGGACGGAAGTCTCGCCCTCGAGCCTGTCGAACTTCGCGATGCTGTTGTGTGCGTTATTGATGTCGTTGCAGCATCGTCTGACCTCTTCAAGTACGACAGACTTGAGAGCATCGTCTGGAGAGTCCCGGGCGAGCTTGTAGACAGCTTCCATCACCGCGCCGAGTGCCGTCAGGACGTGCACGAACTGCTTGTACTCTTCAGCAGCGCCGCGTGCATCGTCTAGCGCCACAACAATGTCGCGAATAAGCTGGACGACGGCAATGATATCGCCGATCGCGTTGCAGGTTATGGGGAACATGGAAGGTTGCTGACGGGGGAGAGAGGGCGTAGGAGGCGAGGTGGAGAAGCTCGAAGTATAAGAGTCCTCACACACGCCTCGTGCAAGGCTGTTGTCCTGGGTGGGAAGATAGTATAGCATTCACGCGTACTTCTAAGCGCCAGACGCCGCCTTCGAACGGGAGTGCCTTGTGAGCTGCTGCCGCCGACTCGACGTTGAGCTCCCTGCCAGCGAAGCGCGTGCAACTTCGCGTAAAAGACAGCCCGCCAGCGGGTACAGGTAGTCTCGCATGATGGCTGGGGCATGGATCTAATCCGTAGCCTCCCAGAGGCGTAAATGGCAAGCACTGCATTCATTTCATCATGACGGGAGAAGGCAAGGAACATCGCGCCGATATTCCTATAGACGCGCATCAGGCGCGCCGCTCCCAGCTGCTCCCAGATGCCCGACTTGCCTTCTACATCCATCGAGTGCCACATCTGTCAGTGTCTCCATGTGTACGGAGAAACCTTTTGTGACTTCTCCACATCATGTTTAATATCTCTGCATACCCCTCTATACACTCAACTTGTATGACTCGGATGGCGACTTCCTTTCATTGAAGCAGCCGACGCGTTTCCAAGCTTGGTAACGCCAACAATCTCCGGAAACCGCGTGCGCCCTATCCTATAATCCGTGCGTATATTGTCCTCTTAACGCGTAAGTGCAGGCCTGGATCTATGCCGCGCAGCTCCACCTCATCCCCCACCGCCACGTCTCACCACACACCGTCCGCCGTAAACTCCAGATCTACGCCGACGACGACGAATTGGCCGAGTCCGTTTCGCGTGCGGCAGTCCGAGTGCGTCTTATCACTTCTGCACCACATTTCACTCGCGTGCTCATCCAACTCTTGTAGTCCAACATCGACTATGCATCTTTCTCGAGCTTTTGGTGAATGCCGCGATCACGGCTGCGCACCGGAGTCGACGAGGAACTCGACGCCATTAAAGATTCGGATGAATGGCTCAGCGCTCAACGCCGATGCTGGGTCCTTCGACACTCTCCTCGCCGACAAGATGAACCCCAACTTCCCTTCCAAGTCCCAGCCGGCCGACGCCATGAACCTCGACGTGACTAAAAAGATCGTGTAACCAGGGGATGTGACGGGGACGACAGCGAACTCCAAGCGGACGAAGATATGTTAGCGAAAGAGCAGGCGGCGCGCTTGCAAGATCTTGCGAGGAAAGTGCAGAAGTTTCTGGGCGGGAAGGGCGAACGCCGAGGGTGTGCGCTTCAACGAGTGCGTACATCATCCCATCCCTCATCACTATATGAGCTGATCGTGTTTCTCTTGCTATAGTGAGGAATCCGACGACGAAGACGCTGAAGGAGATGCGCTGAGCAACTTCAGCGACGAGGGCTTCTCCTCAGATTCAGACTCCGACTCGGACGCGGACGCACAAGTCAAGACCGCAGCCTCGCGCGCCGCACGTCGAGCGGCCATGGACACCCTCGTCCCCGCGCTCCCACTCTCCGAATACGGCCAAATGCTCGCGTCCTACCACTCGAACTCGCAACGCGTGACACGCGCAAAAGTACACACCGACACCCTCGGCGGCGGCGTTCCCTCCACCTCCAACTAAACCGTCACCCCCATCTACCACGACATCCGAACCAGAGTCCAAACATCATGCGCCCGCCCCGCGCACCCCTCCTCATGCGCGACCGCTACGAAGGCGTCGACTCAGACGACGAAACGGACTCCGACTCAGCATACGAAGCCGGCGCCGAGTCGGACGAGGAGAACCAGCCGCAGATCGTGGACGACATGGGGCGGACATGGCTGAGGAGGAGGACGACTTTCTTGATTTCGCGGGGGGTGCGCTTGGGATTGGGGAGGAGGAGTGGGCGGGGATCGTTAGGGAGCGGAGGGCAAGGGGCGGTACGTTTCTTCCCCATCACTTCCCGCTGTCCCGTGTACTAATTGGCTGGTTGATGTTGCAGCGTTCGTATCCACCTTCAAGAAGCCCTCGTCCTCAACGTCTGCATCTACATCCGCTACCGCGCCCGCGAAAGCCGATGAGCCGCATCTCCGCGCGCCCAAACCCGGTCCGCGTCCAAATGCCAATCCGAACTCCACGCGTCCTTCGCCGATCAACTCGGCGCCGCGATGAAAGCCGGCGTCTCATCCGCCAAATCTCACTCCGCCTCTATCACCGCCGCAGAAGCGTAGGAAGAGATAGACATCGATATCGAAGCCGCAATGGACCAAGAGCTGCGCGCCGCTCTCTCCTCCTCCTCCACCAACCCCGACGACGACGACGACGACTACGACTACGATTATGACGGCGAAGTCGACGAGGACGGCCTACCGCTCAATCTGGACGGCGGACTTCATTAGAACCTGATCAAGAATTTATTGGAGAGTTTTAAGAGCCGAGGAGGTTTGGCGGGGCCTGTTAGTAGTCTTGCTGGGAGGTTGCAGCCGGGGTGGGGGTCGCCGAGGGACGAGGCTTCTTGAGGGGTGCTTCCTGGAGTTGGATTGAGACTGTCGATGTAGTTTACCGATTGTACTGTATATTACTGCTTTAGGGTGGGTTGTGGCATAGCGGTGGGCAGTGAACCCTCACCGTTCGCCGATGAAGATGGTAGAACCGGCTCCGGCCCGACATTCCGACATGGTGCTGAACCTCTTTCACGTCGTTGGCTTCGAAGCTCGTCTTAAACTTCCACCCCCTGCGTGATGGTACCATGTAAACGACACGAACGCTATCCCGTCAAGTCTCAAGCACCTCGAACTGCATCTTATGCCTAGCGCAGGGCGAGCGCTCTGTTACGTCGTCCGTCCCTTGATCTGCCTGACGGCGCGAGGATAATGTATCCCTTCGCGCCACCCGACGCACGGGAAAACGGTACGTTGCTCTCCATCACTTGCATTTGCATTGCTCTCGCATCATACTCATGCTCGCCTCACAGCACGCTCGCGCAAAGCAATCGCAATGATCTGGACAAATAGTCCTAATGCGCGGGCTTCGGCTTGCGCGACCTCCGGCGGCGGAGGGGACCCCAACGAGCAGACCGTGGACAATGCGGAACTCGTTGATATACACGACCCGGAATGGAGCCAACGAGATGAGCATGAATGCGCGAAGGTAGCAGAAGTGGCGCTGGGTGTGTGTGCAAAGGGATGGGGCGGGGCGGGGCGGGGTCATATATACGTGTTCTCATCGCCCTTGGTGCTTCGTGAAGTCTATAGTACTACTCAGGCCTCTGGTGCGCTAGGTGATCAAAGTTACTCTTGTGATGTCGGAGTGTATCAGTGTGGAGTCCTCTTGTGAGAGCTCGCAGTTGGCTTTCAACTCTCAAACAGGGCTTGTTATCCCGATGGATGCTCACACCTGTTCACAGGGAATGTTCTCCCACTTGATCCATGGCCACGGCTACTTGTACACTAGATAAAAATGCTAGAATTGCTTCAACACAATACACAGCAACATGAATAGACAGGCATCAGGGCGATCTTCCAGCAAAGCCGAACACAGTCTTGAAGTCTTGGCTGATCGTTCCATGTTCTGTTACTAGCTCCTGAAACGCATTGCGCTCGTCGAGCGATAGATACTCCCCCGAGTGGCCCTTGACTATATCCTCCCACTGGCACACGCCCTCTTCTGATGGTTGCTCGATGAAAGCATCTAGTGTCGAAACCATCTGTGCGAGTAGCCTGCCGGATGCCACACGGATTGTGAGCAATGGAGTGGGAACGTCACGTTGCGAAACCTACTGCTGCACGACTGTCATTGGTTGATCGAACGGTGCACTCTTGTGCGTGCCGCCGAGTATTGTACCTCGCTCGAGCTCTTCCAATGCGGCATTGTACACGGACGTCTCTGCGCGCAGATGTTTTTCGTACATCTGTATGACAGGTATTCAGCATAATATCATGTAAGATGTACTGGGAACTGACAGTGTCCTCGGCGTTCCAGTCACTGGTAGACCAAATGCGTGCTCGGAACAGTTCGTAAACGAGGGTCGACCTCGAGAATATGTCCTGGTTGGCGATCAGAGCATCCACAACCTGCTGCGACACCAGTTGCATCTGCTCCGGTGCGTCTATTATGTGAGTCGGAATTCGTTAATCAGACAGCATATACCCCGAAGACCTTGCTTACTTACAATCCTAAACTCCTGTGGTCAGCTTTGAGATGTCATGATAGACACGGAAATACAGAAACACACATATATGGTCTGCTGGCTTACGACATGAAGCCGGCGACATCTGCGTGTAAACGATAAGGCCTCGTCGATATCGACATAAGAGAGATACTGGGCTGATGTTGTCAAGGTAGAAATTGGCAGATTAATCTGGGAGAAAGCTGATCTCCAATCCGTGCCGCGGAGTCTGAATGGTAAATGATAAGTCAATATGTAGACAATTCAAAAGCACATCTTCCATGCCTTGCAAAGATGCTGGCTATTGCGCCCACGCCAGCCAATCTAACCAGCTCGAGGTTTACTCTAGTCTGTCGAAATTTCTTGGCGCAACCTGTGCTGAACAGGACACCTCAGCAGTGTGGTATTGCAATGGAAGTGTCGAGTCTTACCAGACCACCTCATGCGACTCTGAGCGGGTACTGTACTCCCAGTCACAGTAAGGACACTTTGGACCGTCGGATTGAAAGTAGTATATGTGTAGTAAGCCCATCTCTATACAGATGCCGGGACGCATACAAGCCGTCCAGTTATCCTCTGAGACGAGCCATGATGTTCCGGCCTTGTATAGCTCATAACGCTTGCAAGGGACAAAGTCAACTGCTCCTGGTATCTTCGAGTAGAAGAGGCATAAGAAGCCGTGAAAGTACTACAGCTGATGTATCAATGATAGGCTCACGGAAGGTTGAGATTCTACACACCTCGTACGAAGAGCAGAAGTGGCTCGGTACAGTAATCTCCTCTCCTAGTAATCCGATTAGGAGCACGCCGTTTTCGAGGCCAAATCCCGGGTGCATAGGCGTGGATGACTGGAGCCAAAGAACCTGCGCGACGAGCGCACAGATCGCGGACCAGAGGCCCGTGGCCTGCCATTGTAAGCCTACGTTGTTATGGACGACAAATGCAGCGCCTGCGACGAAGAACGGCGCAAGCAGAGACAAGAATCGATCCCGCCGATCTCGTGGAGTATCAGGAGCGAGCGAGTCGAAGATCATGTCAGCGACGCGTCGGACCCGAGACGCGACTCGTCGATCGTGTGGCACGGCAAAGAACGGGCGAGAAATAGTCTGTTCGACGATTTGTTGACGCGACATCGACGAGACCTGTCCCAAGGCAGAGCTGAGCATAATCAGTGTTCTGAACTGACATTTCCTCGTAGAGACTGGCCACGCACAGAGCTACATCCCCGATCTTTTTGGTAGACTCGCGAAGTGCCCGGCTCTGGACCTGTAGAGCCCGAAGTTGAAGCTGCTGCTCCTCTAGCAAGTGAGACGTCGATTGACTGTAGAGGTGTGTTAGAGAAGCGCAGTGATATCAAAGCTGTGAACGTACTGCCCGAGTAAGGATATGAACGAGTTGAGCCTCTGATGGCTATCATCGAAACGTTGCGCATACTTGGCCGCATCGGAAGCCCGCAAAAGATGCCATTGAAGCTTCAGGAAGACGCCGCGCGTAGTATTGCGAGTCGAGCGAGCGGCGATCTTCTCGAGCTTTCCATAGCCGGAGATGCTCTTGTGCGCATTGTTGATGTCGATGCAACATAGTTGGACCTCCTCAAGTACGGCTTGCTTCAAGATCTCATTGCACGAGGCTTTGGCAAGATCGTAGACTTCGCCCATGACGGTACCGAGGGCGGAAAGAACGCGGGTGAACTGCTTGTACTCTTCAGCAGCGCCGCGCGCATCGTCGAGCGCCACAACAATATCGCGAATGAGCTGGACGACTGCGATGATGTCGCCGATTGCATTGCAAGTAATCGGGAACATGGAAGACTGCTGTTGCGGATGACGGGGGAGAGAGGGCGCTAGAGGCGGGTGTAAAAGCTCTAGATATGAGAGTCCTCGCACTGCCCGCGTGCTATACTGTTATCATAAGTGGGAAAAAAGAAGTTCATTCGCGCCTATGGCTAAGCGCCAGACGCCGCCTTCGAACGGATGCGCCTTGCGAGCTGCTGCCGAAAACTTGACATTGAACCCCTTGCAGGCGAAGCGCAGGCAACTTCGCGCAAGTCAACGGCGCGCGAGCAAGTAGAAATGGTCTCACACAAGAACAGAGGCGTGATTCTGGTTCGGTACACTCAGCGTTCATGGCGAGCACGGCGTTCAATCGATCATGGGGGAAGAAGGCAAGGAACATCGCGCCGATATTCTGATGAAAACGCGCCTTCCCCGCAAGCTGAGTCAGTAGCTGTCGATTTGCCTTACACCACCATCGACTGTCCCACGTGTCGACCGTGTACTACACCCTGGCCACCGTGCACACGGCAGCATTCTCATCACAGCCCCTGTACACCATATGACTTGTATATGTGGCTCTCTACCAAATCCCGCGAGTATGAGCCTTGCACACTCTGGTCGACTCGCAGTGGCAGTAAACTCGAGTTGCACACTCGTGCGTCCACCTCCGTTGTAACTTATCTACGTTCACTTACATGTACTAATAGTTTAATTCTCTATTGTAGGCTTGAGAATCCTGCCGATCTCGCTGACACGTTTGCCGTGACGGACGCCGACGCTCCCTCTGCATGCCTGGGACTGCCCGCTCGGAACGCCCGGATGTATATCGGCTGTCCGGATCCCGGCGCCTACGCGCCTTGGGTGAACCTTGTCGTCATTGCTGCTCCGAAGACCTGCAAGAAAGATTTGGCTTGCATCAGACAGCGTAGACATGGGCGCATACGGATCACAGAAAGGCGCACGGACGAAAAAGAACAGCTCGCTTGTTCTCACCTATTCTTACCACTATCAACGAGCGAACTCAGAGGTCCGCCTCCACCGCCGGAAGAGGACAAGTAAGCGGATAGGCCGGAGAACAGGATGCTGGATATGGTGAAGGAGTGAACGGGCATGCCGGATAAGGTTGTTCAGCAGCGAAACATATGGGGATTGCTGCCACATTTCGTTTGTCGGTGCGTATTATGAGGTGTCATGATCGTTTATTCTTCTCTTCTCTGCTTGAGGCTGACGCGTCATCCTTGTGTAGTATCATCAAGGATACGAAGGTCGACCCGCACGGTGTACTCGTCGACCTCAGTGCAGGTGTAAACGCATCACAATCCAAGCCAAGCCCGCAGTCTGTCGTGAGACGTACGGCGTGGAGACTCAGATGAGCGCCGCAGAAGACGGCGCGGTCCAGGTACATTCTTAGCATTGACATCATGGCGACTGATTGGGCGCTTACTTACACCACTCGGCAGTTCGCAATGCGCGACGCGCAGCCGCGTGGGGCGTTGAACTCGGGCCTGTGGCGCTTCGCCTGGCGCCGATGAAGGCTCAAGCGCTCAGGAGGCGCACGTTGCTGTCTGCAATGGCCAGATGTTCAACGAGAGCTGTGCGTCGTGTTTCAGTGCTTGAGAGTGGACAGGAGTGGACATTGAAATGAAAGACTGATGTGTTTGATCGCAGAGAACACCGCGCTCAAGAGCAAGTTCTTCGATCTGCCCGAGGGCGAGACCATCCCTTCTCCCGACGCACAGAACAACGGTACGTCCCCTTCCCTTGCCATCATCTGCACTGCTTCGCGTACTCATCTGCGACCTACGCCTACGCGCGAAGCGGTCGAAACGATCCTCACGGTCCGGGCGTGCTCCTACGGCTTGCGCGACGCGCCGGGGTCCGGCGACAGGTGAACCGCGCGGGCCTCGCGAAGATGCATGTGATCGAAAGTGGAGCGAATGGGAGGGCGCGAGGGTAGTAGGACCTAGTGCTTGGTGTGTGTGTTGTGGGCTGGGCGAGTTGGGGTTGCATATATGTTTGTTGTCGTTTTTGGTGCTCCGCGGATCGTGAGGTCCATCGTACTGCTTAGGCCTCTGATATATTCGGTGCTCGGACGTATTCTTCTCATGCCGGGGTTTGCTGGTGTGGCGTCCTCTTGCGAGAGCTTGCGCAGAGGGTTGGTTTTCGAAATCATTTTTGTCAGATGCAGAGCTCCCGTTCGCAGGGAGAATTCCTTCACATTGACCGACAGCCACTGGAGGGGCTCTTTCGCCACAGGCTTATAATCGTACAGAAGTTCTAGAAGTGATATATACACTACGTGAATAGACAGCAATCAAGACGATCTTCCTGCAAAGCCGAACGCAGTTGTGAAGTCCTGGCTGATTATCCCATGTTCTCTTACTAGCTCCTGAAACTTATCCCGCTCGTCGGATGATAGATACTCCCCCGAGTAGCTCTTCACTACATTCTCCCACTGGCACATACTGTCTTCTGATGGCTGCTCGACAAAAGCGTTCAGTGATGAGAACATCTGGGCGAGTAACCTGACAGATGCACAATTGTCAGCAGAAGAGTGGGGATGTTACGTTGCAGATCCTACTGATGCACGACTGTCATAGGTTGGTAGAGCACCGCATTACCACGAGGGTTACTGATTAGGGCACCGCTGTGCTCAAATTCTGCTAGCGCAGCATTGTACATAGATATCGATGTGCGCAGATTGCGTTCGTAATCCTGTATGGCAGATAATGATGTGACATGATGTTCGATCTGGTGAGAGCTTACCGTATGTTTGGGGTTCCAGCGACAAAGGGACTGTAGGTGTATCCGAAATAATCCATAAACGAGGGTTGACCTCGAGAACGTGTCCTGTTCGGAAATCAGGGTGTCCACGACCTGTTGCGACGCCAATTGCATCTGCTCCGGCGTGTCTATAGTGCTGGTCAGAATCCACCAGACAGCATATACCCTGAGGACATTGCTTTCTTACAATTCTGAACCTCAGTGGTCAGCTCTGAGATGCCAAGCTACAGGGAAACATGGAGACACACGTAGATGCATTGCTCGTAGACGACGTGAACGCGACGACATCTGCGCGCAAACGACAAGGCCGCATCAACATTTACATAAGCGACATACTGGGCTGATGTTGTCAAGGCAGTCACTGGCACGTTCATCCGCGAGACAGCCGAGTCCCAATCCATGCTGTGGCGCCTGAAATGCAAGTGCTATGTGAGTATGCGAGAGCTTGGAAGCCGTATCGCACATGCCTTGCCGAAATGTTTGCTACTGCGTTAACGCTAGCCAACCTAGCGAAGTCCAAATCTTCTCTAGTCCGTCGGAACCTCCTGGAGCAACCGACACTGAGTCATGCTTCTCAGCAGTGCAGCATCGTAACGGCAGGTCGAAGTCTTACCAATCTACCTCACTCGATTCTGAGCAAGGGCTGTCGTACTCACAGCTACAGTAAGGACAACGTGCAACATTGTCTTCGAAGTACCCGATGTCCAACAAGCCCATCTCCATGCAGATACCGGGCTGTATACAAGCCGCCCAGTTATCCGCTGAGATGAGCGACGATGTCCCGGCCTGATAAAGTTCATAACACTTGCGGGGGACATAATCGGATGCTCCTGACATCTTGGAGTAGATCAGATTCAAGAACTCGTGGACCTCCTATAGTTAACGCATCAGCGACGCTCGTGGGATGGATGGGTGCACAGACCTCAAAAGTGAAGCAACAGTGGTATGGTAGAATGATATCCTCCCCAACTAACCCGATGAGATGTATCCCGTTTTCACGACTGAAGCCCGGACACTTTGGAGTGGACGATTGAAGCCAGAGAACCTGCACGACGAGCGCACAGATGGTCGTCCAAAAGCCCGTAGCCTGCCATTCCGAGCTGACGTTGGTATGAACTAGGAACGCAGCACCTGTAACGATGAACGGCGCAAGCAGAGATGAGAATCGATCGTGTTGATCCCGTGGAGTATCAGGAGAGAGAACGTCGAAGATCATGTCGGCGACGCGTTTGACGCGAGACGCGACTCGTCGATCGTGAGGCCTAGCGAAGAAGGGCCGGGAAAGAGTCTGCTCAGCAACTTGTTGGCGCGATATCGACGGGATCTGTTGGAAGGCAGAGCTAGGCGCTATCAGTATCCGAGGGGCGACTAGTGCTGATTGATAACACGAGTCGACTCACAGAGCCACGGCTTCGATCCTGTCGGCGGGTCCGCGAGCTGCGCGACTCTGGGTGGGCACAACTGAGAGATGATAGCGTTGTTCCTTTAGTAGTAGCGACAGCGATTGACTACAAGAAGTCAGTGTTGAACATTCTAGGCGGGCGTGACACAGACGTACTGGCTAAGTAAGCCGATGTATATACCAAGTCGCTGGTGGCACTCGCTGAAGCGCTTTGCGTACTTCGCCGCATCCGAGGCCTTGAGGAAGTGCCAATGGAGCTTGGCGAACAACGTGCCCGCGCGAGATGTGCGGACAGAAGTATCGCCCTCGAGCCTGTCGAACTTCGCGATGCTGTTGTGTGCGTTGTTGATGTCGATGCAGCATAGTTGGACCTCCTCGAGTACGGCTTGTTTCAAGGCCTCGTTGCACGAGGCGGTGGCAAGATCATAGACTTCGCCCATGACGGTACCGAGGGCGGAAAGGACGCGAGTGAACTGCTTGTATTCTTCAGCAGCGCCGCGTGCATCATCGAGTGCTACAACAATATCGCGAATGAGCTGTACGACTGCGAATATGTCGCCGATCGCGTTGCACGTTATCGGGAACATGGCCAGTCGCTGCTGTGGATGACGGGGGAGAGAGGGCGTAAGAGGCCAAGTGTAGAAGCTCAGAGTATATGAACCCTGGCACTGGCCTCGTGCAAGGCTGTTGTTCTTGGTGAGAAAACGGTGGTGTAGTCACGCCTATCGCTAAGCGCCAGACACTGCCTTTGAACGGAGGCGCCTTGCGAGCAGCTACCCAACTACGACCGACAATTTTGACTTGTACTCTTTGCCAGGAAAGTGCGTGCAGCTTCGCGTAGGAGGACGCCTTGCGAGCGGGTACAGATTGTATCACACGAAGACTGGGACATGGTTCGAGTGCGTAGCCACCAGGAAGCGTACGTGGAAAGGCTGCGTTCATTTGATCATGGCGGGAGAAGGCAAAGAGCGTCGCGCCGATCTTCCGATTGACACGCGCGCCATACGCGCTCCCAGATGCCCGACCTTTCGCGAGCGCGTCAGGCTCGACCACAGGCGCGCGCGCGTCTTGCCTCCCATCGTCCACGTTGATAATCAATTTACTACACGCGCGATGATACACTCGGCCTTTATCTGTCCGGTAGGCGCGCCATCACTGTGTCTCCAGCTATACTGACTCTCACCGCTCAGTCAACACAAGCGGCGTACCCCGCGTAACCGAATTCTAATCCCGCATCCACAACTTCTACACCCTCGTCCAACGGATATACCCACCCCTTTGACGCGTCATCTTCGGTCTGAATCTATGCCGCGCAGCGCCACCTCATCATCACACATCGTGCGCCGTCAACGCCGGATCTAAGTACGCCGAAGACGACGAACTCGCCGGGTTCGCCAACGTCAGCGCGAATCTTGAGGTTGCGGGGAATGGTTGGCTGTACCGGACGCTCTGAGGCTCGCATGGGGTCCTGCCGTCGATACTCATGCGCCTAGGGCCGTCGAAGAGATCGTGTGGAACCGTATTAGCGCCCACCCTGCCGCTCTCGCGTCGCACGCGCACACCACGGCCCTCGCACTCCCGTCCAGCTACGCACGTCTTCACTCGCGTGCGACAGTCCGAGTGGGTTATATCTCTTCTTCACCATATCTCACTCCCGTGCTCATCCGAAATCTATAGTCCACCGTCGACTCGGGCATCCCTCTCGAGCCTTCGTGAACACCGCGATCACGGTTGCGCCTACCGAAATCGGCGAGGAACTCGACACGTTTGAAGTTTCGGACGCATGGCTCAACGTCGACGTTGCCTTCTTCGACACTCCCTCCGCCGACAAGATGAAACCCAATTCCATGGCCAAATCCCAGTTCCCTGCTCACGAGCACTTCTCTTCCTCCTCCAATTTGGACACGGACGAAAAGGTCGACTTCGCAGCGTCGTGCGCTGCACGTCAAGCGGCCATTGACACACCCTCGTCCCCACGCTCCCAGCCTCCGAATGCGGCCAAATGCCCGCATCATACCACTCGAACTCACAATGCTTAACCCGCGCGACCGTGCAAACCGACACTCTCGGCGGCGGCGTTCCCATCACCTCCAACTCAACCGCAATACACATCTATCGCGACATCTGAACCACCGTTCAAACCCGCTGTGCTGCCCCACGCACCCATCTCAATGCGCGACCACTACGAAGGCGTCGAGTCGGACGACGAAACGGATTCGGACTCCGCAGGTGAAGGCGGCGCCGAGTCGGACGAGGAGGATCAGCCGCAGGTCGTCGGCGACGTAGAGGACGACATGGCCGAGGAGGAGGACGACTTTTTGGACTTTGCCCGGGGCGCGCTGGGGGAGTGGGCGGGGTTCGTCAGGGAGCGGAGGGCGCGGGGCGGTGCGCCTCTCTTCGTCACTTCACCGCTCTCTCGCTTACTGATTGTTTTGGTGATGGTGCAGGGTTTGTACCGACCTCCACCTCCAAGAAAACGACCTCATCCTCAACATCCCCGTGTGACGCCGCTCGAGGACGTCGAGCCGGAAGTAGCTCGCTGGAGGGGAGCCGGAGGAAGAGCGAGGGTGACAAAGGTGTGTGGTCGTCGAGCGAGTGACCGAGCGAGCTCCGACTACCGAGGCGATACTAGCTGAACGGGCTCTGGAGAGCCTCGGAACAACAGCAGTCTCTCGTAGGGTAGCTTATGTAGTCTATAGAGACAGCCTCTGCGTTCGCGCTCCTCGGTTACCGAGAGAGCGAGGGCGGGCCGCCGTGAGCGTTCGAGCGAACGAG